AATCAAAAATAAACATCGTCAAAATATACAAGGATGTAAACAGCACTTCATAAAGTAACGTAAATATGTCTTTAGTTTTGTTCAAGGCAAATTTCAAAAGATTAAAGAAATTACAAATCGCTTCGAGGTACGTGGCAGCCGGAAGTAGAACTAATGTAATATCCGTATCCGCATACAACCGGAACACGTCAACACGTCAAAGATTGTAAGCTGACTTCACGCTCGGATTCAACCATTGAACAACAAAGATGAACTAACAACCGTTGAACGCGTAGAAACTAGAATCCCAATAAGAAAGTAACAACGGTAATTGGTGTTATTTGACTATAATCGCCCCACAAATGTTCCTAACCCTTGGGCAATGTTGGTCTCGGTAGAAATTATAGTTCTTTTTGCGTGCAACCATTTGCCTCGGGCTTGTTTGGTGCATCAGATGCACGTTTCTGTTGGGACGGCTTAAAGTGATTATGTACGATTTTTTACATGGCTACAAATGAATTTCCATTAGACCCGAGTGGATTTAATGAGAAAAAATCTTCAATTGAAGATTAGCAAGTTCAGGATTTGCGGATTTTATACAACGTGAATTTCCTTGTTTGGATTGTGAGGGACTGGACTTATGCCAAATTCAGATTTGCATCCTCTCAAGGATTTGGAAGGACCTTTTCTATAAAAGGAGTGTTTCTTTGAGGCCATGCAGTTACAGTGCGTTCAAACAGCCGTGGCACCTGAGGGATTAGGAGACCCCAAGCCATTAGTTGCCACCAGTTGCCACGGCTGTTTGAACGCACTGTAAATGTATAAATGGACATGATCGTATGTAAACCCTTCATATAAAAACTGGTGGTACAGGAAATAATCCAGAGCACTTATTTCAGGACCTACTTCATGAAATACTGACGCCTGGTGGAATCTTCATTTTTCAACCTTTCACCACCACACTCACGTCAGAATCCTTCCCCTACTGTCACGATTTGTTAGCCAAGCTAATGTGTGAGGGCGAAGGCCCAGTGGGGCGAGTACCTTAGTCGGTCACGACGCTGACTAGGCCAAGGCGACAACCTCTCGCTGTTGCATCAACCTAGGTGGCAGGCGGCATTGGCAAGGCTGTAGAACGGAATGTCAAACACTGGAGTATTTAAAATTTAAAGGGAAGCGTTCGCTGGTTTCTACAGATTCCTGGTGGTTTTTAAACGGAAGCGTTTGATGGTATCTTGGGATTCCTGGTGGTTCTCAAGTTTAAAAGGAAGCGCCTGCTTCTGGTATCCGATTTTTAAGTAGTGTCTTATAGGACGGAAGTTTGAATTTTTTTAGAAAAAAAAAAAAAAAAACTTATAGAAGTTGAGTAGCCTAAGCAAAAAGTTAAGAAAACGTGCATTTTCCATTCATATTGTTTTAAATTTCCACCCATTTAATCCGTTGTGATTATTTTAACTTTCTTCAAGAACTGGTGCACCTATTATTTTATGGAAGTTGGAATTGTTGGTAGCCCACTTCTTTCTCCACACAGATACTCCTTTGATAAAAACCTAGGTCTCCCTATCCCCATTTTCCGAGATGTACAACTTGAAAAGCGACCTGTACAAGCTTAGATGTATTCGACATAAACAATTTCATCAATTTATTCAAATATAACAGCGCGTTGACAAAATATTGAATTGGTCGTAAATCTGCTCATCAAGCTGAAGTACATTTTAAAATCCAATGTCAAATTCGATTGGACTAGAAACCCCCTAGTGTAGGCCTCGTCCCAATAGAGTGGAATTACAACTTTGCGAACTCAATGGTCGTGATAAACGACCATATTGGCGAATCTTTTCGTCACAACCATGAATTCCGTCTCTACCACCGTCATGGATTGAACCGTCAAATCTAGTGTAGAAACATTGTCACATACATTTTCACCACCACCATGGCAGGATTGTAACATTCCATATTCCTACACGTTCAGCTCGTAGATCAATTCCTCCGGGCCGAGATGAGAGACCCTCGTAATGACAATGATCACTAGCGCATGACGTCATAAACAGCAGGTGGGGGTGGTGCATGGGTGGAGGGGGGGGGGGCTCGTGCCTCTCGATACCACAACATTGATGAGCGATGAGCCCCAGTCGATATCATGTGAAAGTTTGCGTGGGTTACCAAGAAATAAGGAAAAATTGCGTAGGCTACAACCGAATGACGAGGGAGTTTTGGTTAAACATTTCTTGTCGAACAGTAATTTCGGTTTAATCTATGTCCAAACAATAGTTAGTAACCAGATAAGTCTTGGTAAACAGATAGGTCGTGTGACGATATTGATAGCAAACAAACATAGACTGAGTAAACAAATGTTGACGTATCAAGTGTTACTTGTAACAAGGTATTTTTTATGACGTAAATAATACGGGACGTCAAGTGAGTAGGCCTACCTCGCTCTACTATTCTTTATTTGTAAGTCAAGAACACGAACATAAACATTATACATTGTAAAAGTCTTAATTAATGTGGCATACAAACTGGAAACGGCTTTAGGTTCACTCCATCAATACGTTTTGTTTTTACATACATTAAAATAAGCCTAACCTTTGTGTGTTCGATAAATCACTACAATAAACCGGAACAATTTTACTCGAGCCGATTTGAGGTCAAAACATTCCGACGAACCGGCCAAATTGGTTTCTGAAAACGATAGACCTTTGTCAGGTGGAAAGCCCACGTAATTAGTGAGACTTCCTGAAACACGTGACGTCACAGCGGGTCAAGGTAACAGCTGATCGTGGTCGATGCGCACTAGCGAACTGCGCAGGTCGGCCGGCGCTGCCAACCTCGCAACGACAAAAATCGTTACCGCTTTGTTTACATCCATACACGTGTGTTCAACTTACGTAACCGCTTCGTAAATACGTCCACACACCGCGATAACATATGACGTAGGGATTGTTGAAACGATTGTTGAAACTAGAAACACGAATGCGCAGTTTAAACAGGATCCGTGGTAAACATCTGTTTAGAAAGCAGCCGGCGCTGAGATTCGGCGAATAGACGCACTGGCTACTTGGTTTGCATTCATGAATTCTTTATGACATGGAATTGGGCACCGGACACTTCAGTCGCGTCCAAGGTGATATAAAGTGTGAAAACGTTCGAATCCAACACCAGAAGGAAATCTGAGACAATCCTTCATGGTTTGAAAATAAGTTTAGACTAAATAATAATACATACATCGATCAAGAGTATTCGTAGACAATGACAAAATTTTAAGATGGATCTGTTTTTGAGTTAAAAGGGGGGTTTTGAGTTTGAGGGGGTAGAGGACTGAGTTAAAAAGTGTTTCAAAACCGAGTATACGTCACAACACGGGACCCATCCAAAAGGATGACGTAAAGGGAGCCTACTGATGCTTTGGCTCTACCTAGCCGATGCCCAAAACTGAATTACTGATGTGTTATCTGACATGACCAGTTGTTGCTGTTGCTGAGGGTGAGTAACAACGCTGCTGCGAAGACACCCATGTCCTTGGCACGAGATGCGCGTGGGCGCGAGTCCTTGGTCGATCATGCGCGTGACGTAAGCGGAAACACCTATACTACAACCTTGGCAACATAGCTGCGCACCACGCAAACTTACTGCGCCCTGGCTGTATGACATGTGCAGATGTCAGCTGAAGAATCGGTCAGGGCAAATGACTACCAAAAAGATTCTTTGTTGCCAAATAGCTGCCGAAGATCCTTCGGCTTCTTCACTTCACTTCAGTACTTTACTCAGTAAAACTACTTTATACTGTAGAGGTGTATACAAATTTTCGGTTGTATGCTTTGACCCAAGTTAGTTTGACAATGTACTGCGTAAAATAACTTTGTTTATTTTCGTAACTCACCGATGGAGGGGAAAAAATCAAACATGGATTAAAATTGAGAAATGCATTGGAGAATGTGTGTACAGTATGTAGTACACGTCTCATCAAAGTGGTTGAACTACCCTATAAGTTACAACATTCTTACCTTACAAACATATCGTTGAACCTAAAAACCCGTCATATAATTGATACTACACTAAACTTGTCATACGCGGTTCAACCAAAGGTCGTCCTCTTGTTTACTGTTTTGTTTTTGTCGCAACGTCAACGCCACTTATCTCAATACAAGTTCGGTTTGAGGTCGTGGCGTAGTTGTGAGGAAAACAGCTGTTTGCTGTTGCTAACCGGCAGCAGGTTGGCAAACCTAACTGCGAAAATAATTTTTAAACCGGGTCCAAGGCTGAGTTATGTAACTCGCCGGCCGGCTCAGTATTGATTTAGAAGGCTTCTCTTGCTCTTTGTTGTGCGTGTCTCTAAATACAGTAACTTACTCACTTTGTGTCGAGGGAACTTATATTTCAGTGAATAAGCATTTTACTTTCCCCGATCTGTAGGAATTGAGTTATTCATAGTATTGGTGGGAAGGTGGAGGAGTTGTTTGAAAATAACAACTTTTCATAGTTTTGAAGTTACTCCTGAATAGAGTTATTGAGTAGTGACAAAAAGGTTTACATATACAATTTACAACCAAATATCTTAAGGTATAATAGAGACGAATTGAATAAAGGTTGAGTTAGTTTGTGCCAACTAGGGACAAAACGAGTTTTTGGCGTAGGGTTTGTAAAAGTTACATTTACATATCAAATACGTAAATACAAAGTTTACGTAGTGTAAACGCATTTTAGTGTGGAAGTTTGAGCAAAAACACAGTGTACTGATATATTCATACAAGTTTTGTGTATGTAAAAGTTACAGTAATCGAGTAAAATTACAGTACGTTAGTTTTAAACGCGGACAAAAATTATTCCACCTAAATAAAGACGATGCAACTTATTCTATAACAACTATGGAAAATCAACAAAAGACCAAAAATCGTGAAGGAAACCCTGTGATAAAATCAATGTAAGTTCCACGTTTCCATCTACAAACCGGTGACGTGGTACGACATATTGGTACTATCATTGACTATAGAACTACAAGATGTCAGCCCTATGGTACCTACCTCGTGTCCAGGAGGGCAGATGACAACGTCCACCTCATCCACGTCCGTATCGTGTTGTTTCACCTCCCCAGTGACCTCTCGTCCGTTGAAGGTGAGGTACACCCTTTGTCCTGGCTTGAGCACCACCGAACCAACACTCTGAAACCCCGGACCGATCAGTTCCGAGTCCAACAACACAGCGATGGCGCGAGTATCGTCAAACCGCACCGAGTACCTGGCCTCTCCTTCCTCCTTGGTACTCTTGACCGCGTGGATGACCGCTGAATGAAGCAGCCCGTCCTCTCTAGGTGCGACCACTCTGGTCCCGATAATGGATCTTTTAGCGAGACGTTTACCTGTCGACATTCTACAGTCCGTTACACACTTAAGTCCACAAACACTAAACGAAAAGTCTACTGAACACCGAAACACAAACGGTTTAAAAAAGTTCCACTCGCGGAATCGAATTTCACAAACGCACTGATAGAACCGTAGGTGACGTGGTTCAACGCGAAATGCATATTAAAACAATAAAATGTTAATCCTCGCGACCGGCACAAACAAAGGAAGTGACGACGACGAGTGACGTGCGATGTTTCCTCTATCAGCTGCGACTACCGACTGTCAGCTGGCGGCCCCTGCACAGCTGTTGGATCACAACAAAACCACGTGACCGCCAGCTCGACGCTGATTGGTCCGCGGCTGACCTACTTGTCCCCCACCACCGTGCGCCCGGCCGTAGCCTAGCTCCCACTACCGTTACCCTGTCCCACTTTTGGCTGCGAACGTAAGTCTTTCGGAATTTCATATTTAGGTTGCCTAATTTCGCTGTAAACAAAACTGATAATATGGTAAAAGGTGGGAAATGTTGTGCTGCGTTTGCTATAGATATAGTAAACTGGAATAAATTGATGACCTATGGAATGCGATGACCTATATAGTGGACCCTTGGCACTGTGCCATTGCACCAGTAGTTGATGTTATCGATAAATAAAGTGGACGTCACTGGCTGTTTATTGCAAATTTTGTAAGAGAATTAGCCTCAAATTAATCAAAAATATGTTCTTCTGTTCTGGCTATTCAAATCAAAAATATGTTCTTCTGTTCTGGCTATTCAGACGAGTGTTGAGTTGTTTGACAACAAATAGTGTGAATAGTATTGAAAATGGAGGCGTACAAAATTGAAATCAAAAATCACAAGTAAACCACTAGGAATCAAGTATAGTTAGTTTCAAAAAAAAAAAATACCATCGCGCTTCTTGTTTTTATTTCTCCTCTTGGAGTGGATAAAAATAAAATATCAAGCAAATATGAAAATGATATAATATATTATACAATTACATAGTCATTAATAGGATGTTAACAAACGTGATTACAACAACGTTATTACGTTATTGCTGAATACTTGCTGTGCCTATACTCTCTTTACACGCTATAAAGCTGGTAAACTTTTAACTTCATAGTTGCAGAAAACAGAGACACAAAGAATGGTGGTCTGTGACAGAGATTAGTAGACAACTTTAACATAAAATATTGAGCACTCGTGCTAAATTCACACTGCTACTCATTTTAACAGTGTGTTGTTTCACCATAATTTATATGATCGATGGTAAAATGGTCGTGATCTTCAGAAAACACACCCTGATAATGATTGAATGATTTTATTGTAAAACATCTTTATTCAGTTACTGATTCATGGTTGCATGTTTTGTGGTCACACTCACACAGGGGTGGCGACAATCGTACGTTATGCACTATTATGTATGACAGTGTTTCTTGGAACTATTTTAATAATTGTTTTCTGCATTGAATGTTGAAACACTTAACTCGCTCTTAAATATCTGAATTTTTAAACTCAGGTCTAACTGAATAATTACTCACCTCTTATTGTGTTTTATGAGGATGTTTAGCATATAACATATTTTTACATGGTAATACCAGGTAATACCTCATGATTGAGGATGTCACTCTGTGTTAAGCCTAAATAACAAAATATACTGTAGTACGAATAGATTTACAATGAAAAAGAACATGTAATAGTATAGTACTTAACTCACTGTCGTTATTTAATTTAAAAAAATAAGATTTATTTTTTAATACTTCCATATTTTATACTGTCTATACATTATCTGGTTTCCAAAGGCCTGTATACTGTAGACAAACTGGTTTATAGGACTGACCAAATATTTAAGTTTAATACTAATGATTGTGTATATAATATATATAATTCGTATCCACTCCATGACTAATATTAGATCAAACGTAACTCAAACTAAATTTTAACAGATCAATCTCATTTTACCAAGCATGGCCTCCACCTCAACAATGCTGGGAAGAATGAATTAGCCCACACTGTTATTTGTAGTGTTGCAAGCTGGCAAGCCCAAACAGATCTCTCATCTCATAAAAACAATAAACCAGCTAAACTAACCAAGGTAAACCCCAGCCGTTCTATTTTAGCAACTGATTCAAACACCATAAGGAATGCTTTTTTAACAACATTAAAAACAAATTTGAATGTAGAAGACATCCAAATAATGGAGGGTAATATGAGGGATGCAATTCATAGGTATCAGACTGATGAGAGTGTAGCTTTTTCACACTGTGTATCGTCAGACTTCTCTGACGATAAGCAAATGAGCAGAGGTGTGGCTCTCGTTTTTAGAGAAGAGTTTGGTAAGCCCTGTCAATCTGATTACTGTTATGAAAACCTCACATTCCAAAAAACCCAGTATGGAGCTACAGTATATAGCCTTGTCACCAAGCCCAGATACTACCTTAATGCAAATAACTTTCCGCAATATAACAGCTTGTATGATGCCGCTTTTTCACAACTAACAGAAGATTTTAAAACAAAAAAGCTAAAAACACTCATCTGTTCACCGATGGGCTGCTTCCGGGACCGGATTACACCTGCTCATTTTGCTGAAAATATTAAAAAATTCCAGCAAAATACCGGCGCTTCAATCATTATTGTAACATACAAAAACAGCTTCAAGTACCTGGGAAAAAAACAGCTAGATCGTATGACACAACCCAACCTGAAGGCACCATATGATACATCACAGCATCCAACTACTGCAGACCAACCCCCAACTCTCACACAACAGTTAACGCCTCCTACTCAGCCATCATCTCAACATCAACTGTCTCTTGAAAAAAATGAAGAGTCTGTGAGTGCTTGCAATAATGATAAAAGTTCCATGATCTCAGATGTGTTGAGTGAAAGCAAAAGCTCCAAAAGTGAATCACATGTCAGTGTAGGAAGTAGTAGTCCTGTTACTATCAACAACCTGTTAAATTCTAGTATTAATAGTAATTTTTTAGTAATAATAAGTTAGACAACCATCACAATAAACCATCACATGATATTGATAAAACTAAGATAAATGAATTCAGTATTTTTCACCAAAATATAAGGGGTTTTAAATCAAATGTTGATTCATTAGAGATAACATTAGCTGAAATAGATCCAAATGTAGTCGTGTTGAGTGAGCACAAACTGACTCAAACATCCATAGAGAGAATTAATATTAAAGGGTACAACCTAAGTGCACATTTTGCTCGCAGTAACAGCCGTGGTGGGGGGGTAATCATTTTATCAAAAACTTTTATTAAATCAAAAGAAATCATTTTAGAAGAAATAAATCATCTATTATCTGAAACAACATTTGAATGTTGTTTAGTAGAATTTCAAAAGATACTACCGCCCAAAAAATCTAAATTTTTGTTAGTTGGCCTATATAGAAATCCTATTAAAAAAACTGAAGTAGAATTTATTGATAAAATAAATATTTTGTTGGGAATACTTTCTCAAAAATACCAACACATAGTATTAATTGGTGATATAAATATCAACATGATGAATTTTGAGGATGGTAATAGAAATAAACTTAACAATGTTGTTCTTGCCAATGGTTTCCAGTCAGTTGTTAATTTTCCCACAAGAATTACTGAAACAACAAAAAGCACCATAGATAATATTTTTACTAATATAAATAATGCCTATTTCGATGTAATTGGTTTCAATACTCAGCTGTCAGACCATGATGGTCAACTCTTTGTAATAAATAGTAAAAATGATAGTCCTGATAATGCTGTATATCTTGAATATTCTAGGAACTTTAGCACTGCAAATATAGATCACTTTATTGAAGTTCTTAGCCTTGAAACTTGGCTTAATGTATTTTTTGCTCCAGTTGAGTCAAAGTATGATGTATTTCACCAAACTTTTATGTATTATTTTGAGTTGTGTTTTCCTAAGAAATTATGTAGAAAATATAGACATAGAAGCAGGTGGTTTACTGAAGAGCTAAAGATTGAAAAACAATCAATTATTGAGTTTGCTAACAATGCTAGAATGTTAAAAAGCAAAACCATGTACAAACAACTAAGACAGAAGAATAAAATGTTTAGAAATAAGGTTACAGCTGCAAAAAAACTATATTATCAAAATAAAATAAACAACTCAAGTAACATGAATAAAACCAGCTGGCAAATTATTAACTCTGAAGTCGGTAAGGCAAAAGCAGATAACCACATTACTAGTGTTCATATTAACAATCAATGTTGTTCAGACCCTTATGTTATATGTAATTCATTTAACAATTATTTTACAGATTTGGTTGACACAAACATTGTTCCTAATTTGGATTCACTTGTTGGGGATATAAAGGACAGTGTAAAAGTAGTTGAGTCAGATTATATAATTCCAGGTTTTCATTGTATACCTGTTGATGAGAAAGAGATAGACGAAATAATAAGTCATCTTAAAAACTCATTTAGCACCGGCTATGATGAGGTCCCTGTGGTGCTCATCAAAAAAGCAAAATTACTCCTCAGAAAACCTATAGCTCATTTAGTAAATTCTTCCTTTGTATCAGGCATTTTTCCTGATAAACTAAAAATTTCTAAATTAATTCCACTATTCAAAAAAGGAGATAGATATGAATTATCAAACTACCGTCCAATTGCTCTGCTTCCGGCCATGTCCAAAATATTTGAGAAAGCCATGTACAACCGTTTATATAGCTTCCTGGAAAGTAATCACCTTTTTGAGGACTGTCAACATGGATTTCGAAGTGGTAGATCAGTTGTGACAGCTGCTACAGAGTTTTTAGAGTCAGTTATTGATTGTTTAGATGCAAAACAAAAGGCTCTTGGCATTTTCATGGATTTAACCAAGGCATTTGACTCTATAAACCACAATCTACTTTTAAATAAATTGTCAAGCATCGGAGTAAAAAATAAATCTCTTCAATGGCTAGAATCATACATTTGTAATAGAAAACAATTTGTAGAAACTATCCAATTCAATAATCAAATGAAAATTACTCACAAGTCAAAAATTAGAACTATTAAACATGGTGTACCACAGGGATCCATCTTGGGTCCCCTTCTATTCATTTGCTATGTTACAAACCTACCAGGGCTGACTAAATCTAGCAAACTTTACCTTTATGCAGACGATGTAAATCTTACAGTTACCGCTAATTCTGAAGAGGAAATTGAAAAGACAGCTAATGCTAATCTAGATATACTTTCAAATTTTTTCCAAAACAATCAGTTACTTTTGAATCCAGATAAAACAAAGTTCATAAATTTTGAGACCCGTCAGACAAGACTTTCAATTAATC